GCACCCCCCGGGGCCAGGACGCAGGAGCTGGGGGAGCCCCGCCTCGCCCCAGCAGGGGAGCCCCCGGCGGCCTGGACTCTAATTGTGGGAAAACTGGATGCCCCGGGGAAGGTTCCACTTGTGGAGCGAGGACTCAGATTTCTCCTACACTTCCCGGGCCTCCCAGGGCGCCCGCCCCCGCCATTCCCGACGAGGCTGGAAAGCTGCAGGGAATCTTCGGGCGTTCTGCCTGGGGAACCCTAAACGGGCAGGGAGTAGGTTTGGGTCTTTGGGGAGGCAGCCGTGGTTATGAATTTGCAGCTAGGTTTGGGGGAGAGGAAGCTGTCTCTATGGACGCGTCCTTCCCACCGCAAAGCGGGAGCCATGGGCTAGGGGGCGGGGCGCTTTGCTTGGGGAGGGTGACCTGCTGTTGTTGCCTTAGTGAACCCTAAGCGACCGGGCGCCCGAGCTGTTGGGGCTTCTCCAGGCCAGTAATACTGGCCGCCGCCTTGGCTGCTTGGTAAACTCAAAGCCCTTTGGAGACAGGGAGTGGGGAGACCAAGACGCTAAAACCGAGGTGGAGCCCTAATCAGTTTGGCTCAGTGGATAGAGCTTCAGCCTGCAGACTCAAGGGTCCTAGGTTCGACTCCGGTCAAGGGCATGTACCTTCGTTGCAGGCACATCCCCAGTGGGGAGTGTGCAGGAGGGAGCTGGTCGATGTTTCTCTCTCATCGATGTTTCTAACTCCCTATCCCTCTCCCTTCCTCTCTGTAAAAACTCAATAAAAAATATTTAAAAAAATAAAACCGAGGTGGAGGGAAGAGGAAGGAAATAAGTATGGGCAGGGGTTCGAGGTAGACAGACACGGGGCAGAGGGGATTTCCCCACCCTTCCCCTCCCTGTCACCCCCATAACGCCGAGGTCAGGGCCGTGGCACAGGCTCCTCTCGAAGCCAGGCGCCGCCCCGTTCCCTGCGTTTGGGGGGAAAGGATCCATCGCGCACTGCCTGTAAAATAACCGTTTATTTCATATTTTTAAAAACTCCAGTGATAAATGTCCGTTACCGATGGTCAGCATAAAGTGCCAATCGCAATACAACG